GGGTCTTATAATTATGAGACACACTGATTTGAAATTTTTAAAATTTATTCATTAATGGTAATTGACTAAATTGAAACTAATATGGTATATGATAGAGTACTGCTAGATGTCTTTAGGTGTGTCGTTAGATTGGAAATGAAACCCTCTTTAGTTAAGGAAATCTTTATTTTTGTGGAAATTTAGTAGGGGGTCTTATAATTATGAGACACCCTGTATATAAAAGCAATGATATTTCTCTCCAATGTAGCTGATAACCAATAAAAGTTAGATTTAAAAAAAAATGATTATAAATTATTTAATATGGACTTTTCATTTAATAATAGAATAGATCAAAGATATTTTAGTTTATTACTATGGATATAACAATGAGTAACATGAGTTTCTTTCTTTATGAACCTATTGCATGCAATCTTAAACTAAAATCCTAATAGGATTCAATTAGTACACAAAAGTATATCATAGTTTTATATTTGCTCGTCAATCTAAGAGCTTCATAAATAAAGTGAATCACTCAAAATTTTGTTTTTATTGATTAATATTAATGAGTTTTTATCTACGATACAAACAATGTTCTTTATAATTTGACAAAAAAAACTATATATCAAGCACCAAAAAATATGAAACATAAATCGATGATTTTATTAAAAACTTATCTTGGAATAAAAATCAATTAAAAGAACAATTAAATAATTAAACTGAGAAAACGTTTCTATTTGATACCAATATCGAAGAGGTAATGTTAGCATATGCATAAATTTATGACGATAAGTAGCATAGCATGACGCTATTAAATTATTCACTATAATATTCCCTTCAAATGTCAATGGAGTAGAAATTGTTTGATTATAAAGTATGATTTCTTTTATATTAACTACTTGTAAAGGTTTTAGGTTCGATGAAAAAACAAAATCACCGATAGCGATGTTATATGCAAAATTATAATGATAAAAAGATTGTTTTTTAGTATTTTTCTTGATGAGAATTGAATGTGACGGTGTCAGACGAAGTGGTTCTTGTTTGTTTGCTGTATATATTTCCAAAAAACGAACCAATGAACGTTGATGATGAAATATTGTTAATACTCGACTTTTTTGAATTTTTCCAGATGATAAATAAACAAGAACTTCTTCACCGACGGTTAATAAATTTAATGGTCGAATAGAACCATCAGCAAGTGTAATATTTGTTGTATGGAAAAAGCAACCAAGCTCTTCAAAAGAATTTTATTTAATCATCTCTTTGAATTACAACTTACCGTAAGATTTTTCTGTAGTTGATTCGATAGTTGTTGTACTTTCTATTGTTGTTGAAATTGTAGTAGGCTCAGTAGTAGTTGTTGTTGTTGAAGAATACAACATAAATTGAGTCAATAGATAAAAACTTGCATTAAATAGAAAAAAACCAACAATAACTGTGAGAATCATTTTTAAATGTCTCGGCGTTAGTCGTCTTCTAAATATTTGATAGTTTTGCTCTATTGATCGATACATCTTTTGTATCTTAGATCTAGAACTTCAACAAAAAAAAAAAACTTCATAAATAATTTTCGTCATACATTGAAAATGACTCAGTAGTGTCACAAAGAAAAAAAACTACGATCAATTTGATGTATTAGCCAGCATACGTTTTTACCTCTATGTACATTATTGCCACTGTGCTCCTTCGATTCTCATTTCTTTTTGCTTGTATAGTCAACAAGATACTGAAATTTTTGTTGCATAGTAACCAACCAATGTAAATAAAAAGTCAAGAAAAGAAAATCACTTTTCTCTCTTGTAAGAGAATATTCAAAAAAAAACTAAAATTATTTACTCAGTCAAAAAAAAGCAGAACTGAGTAACTCAATTCACACAAGACAGTCAAGTTCGTGCGACTCATTAAAAAAACCTTCTACCTAACTCAATTCAAGCAATCCATAAAATTCTGAAAAAACTCTTAGATTAAATTCCATTGCATTTATAGATCTTCAGAAATATCTTGTTAATTCAATTGAGCTGTGTTGCCATTTTAGACTTGAGTGGTAAAGTTGGGATCTAGAGAAATGCGGTACATCGTATTGCACTGATCAACATGTAAAAAAAAAAAGTCGATCACTACTCATAAAGCAAATCGATAGAAATACTCGCCGGTTAATTAATAGAATAGGTGCATAAACTAGGTCGCACATCATGTAACTGTTATTAGAAATTAGTAATTAACATTATGAGAACATAAAAACAAAATATAGGAATTCGAGTGTAATTTAGACACATCTAAGCAAGAACCGTACAAATTGTTACAAAAGCAAAACTCATGACGTTCTATTTTTCTACGGCTTCTTTTCTTCAAAATTAACAAAAATTTCATTTTTGAATTGAATTGACAGGTATTAGAAAACTTCTTTCAATTCAAATCATTCACTGAAAACGTAACAGATTATATTGTCTCACATTAGATTCATATAATGGAATAATGTAAAAATTTTGCATTAGTTTTATTTTCAATATAGCATAGCAACAACTTGTCACGAAGACTTGATAGTTTTCTCGTTAGAAAAATCAAAGTCTTTACTACAAATCTATATAAAAATATTTGTTTTAAAATGTTTATCAAACACTGAAAAGTTTCAAGAATATGTTTGACTGAGAAGGTTCTTTGTATGCTTTCAAAAGTTAGAGGAAAACCTCCATTTACTGCGAAAGTTTGTCTTATTTTTTGTCTTTTATCAGATTTTGTAGCTCAATAATAGAGCATTGCAACCAAGGACAATTAAAATTTTCAAACTGTCGGTCACATTCGAAATCGGCATCTCTCTAACAACTTTTTCTAGCGAAAAGTGTTCAAAACTGATTGTAATTTTGAAAATTAGACTTTTTTTTTTTCAGCAGTCAAACTTAGTGAAACTCCACATTTTATGTCCGAGTTAAATTTTAATCAGCTCTATATAGACACGCATTATATAAAACAGAATAGAGTGTTTCGATTAGGCATTATTAAGAATATTACTTCATTGAACGTTGTAGAGGAAATATCAAGTTTTTTTTTTTAATAAAATTGTTTCTTATAGAACCTATAGTTTTTTTGTAGCTCGAATATTTTGATACTACTAGAAAGGCTGCATCACATTGGTTAAACTCATACATAATATGCCTACAAATGTCGAAAGCTAAATGCAAGATCAATCAATCAAATGCACGTTTCATTACTGATTAATAAATATTTTTACACAGCTTTGCAGTTGAGATGTTGCTTTTTTCTAACAAGAAAACTATTCAGTCTACAGGACAAGTTATGATCCTACTATAGTGAAAACAAAATTAATGTAGAACTTTGCACGATCTGTTATTTCAAAATAAAGGATCCTTTATTAATATGGATTTGATCGAAATTGTATTCAGACAATTGCTTTTTTTTTTCAAAACTATAAATATATAATCGATTAAATGAGCAATATTTAAATTTTATTCTTTATATGTCCAAGGTAAAATTCAAATACGACTACTAGTTGAACAACAAAGATCCAAATATAAGTTGGCATTGTAATGAATATTTATTAATATCAATATTGAGCTCATGTGAATTGTGTTCGTTCATTTGTTAAACGAATTATTTAATGATCACAATCAATAGATAATTCTAATATATTATTAATTTCATATCATTCTTATCCTTAATTATTTGTATTTTGATAAACACCATTAAGACAAATACCATCATGTCCAGCGAATCCATATGCTGTTGGTGTACTTATTAAAATAACTTTCCTAGAAACATTTTTTGAGATAATCCAAAAAAACCATTTATCTGAATCACGTTCTTCAAGTTTCAAACGAAACTGATGTTGACCATATGAGTATTCACCTTTTTCATCGTACAGATGAATGATCACTTTATTGATCATGAACTATTATTTGACTATTCTCTTCAATACGAATATTTCCCGCTGGTCATTCAAATAAACCATTTGGTTCAATAATACTAACAATAAGTTTAGAAATAAATGTCATATCATCATCATTATCTTTGCAAATTTCTATTGTTTCTGGTGTAATTAAATCATGTTTTAATTTATCAAGCTTACATCTTCATTGTTTTAGAAATATTTTTTATATAATTTTTTGCATCATTTCTAGCTTGTTATAATTTTTGTGTGAAGTTTTCTAAAGAATTTTTAATACCAATTATATGGTCATAAATAACGTTTAAAAATTGTGTTCGAGCATCATTAACTGTTTGTTGAATTTTACTTATCCATCCATCAATTTGTTGAATAAGTGAATGTTGATGAGGTTCTGTCATATATTCACAAACTATTTTTTTGTAATTGATGATGATCTTTCAAAAAATTATTCATTTCTCTCACTGGAGATGATTAATGGTGATCATTTATATGATCTTCACAAAAATTCTGTTGACATTCAGAACATGTGAAAAAAAGTTTTTCTTTTTTTTTAGATATTATACATTTTGGTTTGCTTATTGAAGATGTCATATGTATTCTTTCAAATGAATGGCTTGTAAAAAAAGAGGAGACTAAAGAACAAGACGTATGAAGCCAATTATTAAGTGGTTTTTGAAAAAAGAAAAGATGTAAGTTAATTTATTTTGTACTCGTCTACTTGTTTCGTTTAAAATAAAAAACAAAACAATTTCATTTACATCACGTACGACAGAACGTTTCTAAGTGTTAAATTCCTTTTCAGTCGGGACTATGTGCATCAGGTAGAATCCTAATGAGCTATGAATGCCTCGAAAAAAGTTGAGGTTAATAGCTTGTTACTGCCGAAATACTTTATTTTTAAAGTTATTTTTAGCAGAATGCTGCCGTCTCTTTCAGAAACACCGAGAAAACTGAATTTCAAATTTCCACTTGAAACTTTACACAGAGACAGACTTTAACGAGAATGCCTTTTTATGAAAGTTTCAAATCTTTTAATTGCTTCTATTGTACGATACGACTATGATAAAAGCATGTTTTCCTCATGCCGCTTATATACAACGGTTAATTTTGATGCTCTTATTTTTTAAAATAGGTGCAATGGAAAAATGTGAAACTTTTACAATAAAATATTCTCGTTAATGTTGAACTCTGTGCAAAGTTTCAATTAGAAATTTGAAACTCAGTTTTGTCGGTATTTCTGAGGGAGATTACGGTATTCTAAAAAAAATAATACGGTAAAAATACAGTATCTTTGCAGTAATAGACTATTAGGCCGAACTCTTTTCATGGTGTTCATAGTTCATTAGAACCTACATGACACACATAGTCTCGATTCAAAAATGATTTGACGCTTAGAAATATTTCCTCGTTAGTTATTTGTTGTATAAGTACTTAGATATCATCAGAATTAGCAAAACTTAAGATTATAAAGAAGTTTTGGACTATAGCAGTAACGAATGAGACCAACATGAATATGTCGTGTGTATATGTTATATCAAAGTGAAAAAATTCAATAATTACTTTTTTTAGCTAGGTTATTTTTGTGCATAATAGAATTAAAAGATTGTTAATAATATTGACGTGTTTAACCATAGAAATCACTTTTTGTTTTTGCAGCTATTCTATTCAAGAAAATATTTTTGACAGTCATCTATGAATATAGAATTTGATGTAGTATAAATATTATCGTTAGTCAAATAGTAACTAAACCAGAGTTTTTGCTTCATGGTATTTACTGCTTCTATCTAGAGATATTATTTTTGAGTAATTATTTATATCATATGATTAGTTAAGCATCCTCATTTATATAGAGCAAGATAATTTTTTATTTTATTTTTATCTACAGTTTTTCAAACCCGATTAAAATAGAAATTATTTAAATGAAGGCTGAAATTAACATCTGTATTGACTTGAGAAATCTTGATTAAATGTGAATGCTATATCATTACAAATTGTACGGTTAGTATTATATGTAAGCAGAATAAGTAAAACGTCATGCTACAATATTGTTTCAAATAATGACGTTGAAAATTTTAGATATAATTTTATGAAATTAAAAAAATTTGTGACATTCAGAATTTATTATTAATATTCGATTATATGTACTTATATACATGTTGTTTTCTTTGATTAATTATCTTTGTCAGTTATTTTGTTAAATATTGATTTGAATTATTTAATATATCGCAACTACAAGAAGATAATGAATGTATTTTTTAAACGTTCTTTTGTTACTTTGTTAAACACATTTTAAGATATGATTGAAAACATTTGAGAAAAATTAGTCGACATTTCTATTCTATTCTACTTTTTCTTTCTTCTTTGTAGATACATTTTTTCATTTGAAACTAAAAGTTGATTATTATCTTTCACAACATACGATCATCCCATCAATTAAAAATGAGTTGTAAGATCATGTTATCGTATGCATTCTAAAGATTTTAATAGTCTAGATAAGTGAATGAAAACAAGTCAAATAGATAGTTATTTTAAGTGATTATATTTTTAATAAGAAAAAGAAAAATTCAATGAGAAATAATTGAAAATAAAAATGTAGATTCAAAATCTAATCTATGTACTTGAAGTAAGTACTATTCATAGTACTTTCAAAAATGTTAGACTGTAGTAGTTGTCATATTCTGTTGAAAACAGAGATTCTCAGTCTTTTTTTGTATTTTATAATTGTGATTGATTGAAGAAAAGACTCCATGATATATTTGGTTTTCTTGAGAATGATTAAACATAATGTGTATTGATTTATATATTTGGGGTGTTACATAAAGTGATGATAGAATGATTAATGCAAATGATATGGAAATCGTCATCCAACTTATACGGTAAGATGCCCAATGCAAATGATCAGTCATGATAAATGCAATAACAAATAAACATGGTATAATTCCTAATGATGAAAGAACAATCATAACCATACAAATTCGTTTTATGATAATATTATCACGTTTGTTTTTACGTTGAACTGAAATAGGTATTAAGATAATTCGTCTGTTTCTATGTTGGACATGAATTATAATCCACAAATAAATCACACCAATACAACATAACGGTACGAAATATACACTAAGTATTAAAAATGTAATACCTCGAATACTAGTAATAGGAACTTGACAATAAAATTCTTGCGGCAAATAAATAACAAAAGATGTATAGTTTTTATCTCCGATCAAAATAGGTAGAATAAATAGAAATGATGCAATCCACTGAACGACAATAAAAAATGAAAAAGAATAAATTGTTCGTAAACATTTATATTCATGAAATACAATACGTAAAAGACGAAAACCACCCTGAAGTACATAAGATAAATAAATTGAATTAATAAAAACAAAATGTAGATAACCTCGTATATGGCAAGCCCAACAATTTATTCGTTTAAGAATGTAAACATTCATATCACCACCGATATTCGATAATATCATTAGTGTAAGTGAAGCACTCGAACAAATAATTGCTAAGCATGTATTACATATAAGGAGTAGAGATACATTTGTTGACTTTTTAAAATTATTTTGTCTTAAAAGGTTTGTACACATGTAAATGACGACGAATATTGAAATAATAATTGCGAATATTGTACATAACAGAGTACAAATATTGATTATTAATTTTAGATGTTGATGACTATGAAAGTTGTTTGTTTCTGAACTGTTATTTACTACTGTAGTCATATGATACCTATGTTATAATTAGTAGGGTTCAAAAGAATACAATCTTGCTTGGTGTTGATAACAAAAAAAAAAAAGAGCGTTTATATAATGAAGTAAAAAAAATTAGAATAGGTAAAAGAAGGTAGATGTTGTGCTTTATTTTTCATCATGCAACGACATCCGTCTCAGATTTGCCTATTTTATCTCGCATCAACTTAATTCTTATAATAACACTGCACTCTCTTGCTTCATATAATCACAATTAAATATTTTAAATATGGATCAGGCATAACATGATGTTTTAGGTCATCTTAAAGATTCTAATTCTTAGCTCGATAAAATCTCAAGTTTTTCATGTTGTAGATCTGCTTAATTGAATATTGTAGAGTGTGTAAATAAACTCTACATCCGGTATGCTACTAATAAATCATTTTCAAATGTATTTCTATATAATTCTTTATATATATATAGTAGTCGTAAGAAGTTCTGCTACCGGTTAAAAATGGCATAAACTTCAATCTGTTTGCTTGATATTTTGACTACAAATAGAGCTCAGTAAATCCTGATTGCAAGTAGCAAGTCAAGAGATTCATGATGAAAATACTACTTTTTTCTTAGATTGCAAAAATGATCTCTTTTTTTTGACGCATTTCTGTTTTTTTCACTACGTAAATGCTTTAATCTCCATTATCTTTTTAACAAACAAAAAATCGCATGTTTATATTGTGCCATAGGCAGTGTATTTCAATCTGTTGCACTCTTGAGGCACGGTGAAGCCTCCATTGTTTGGAACGATTTCAACATGGATCTCTTCTTCATCGATAACTGCGATTGCGAAATTCCAAAAAAAAAAAACTTGATTCAAAGAGAGCACTGAGTGAAAAAAATTCAAGTCTAATGATTACAATTAGTCTTTGACATCGGTTCAGTTTTCGATAATTTTCATCAACTTTCATGAGGAAATTACTCAAAGATTACTTCATAAATCAGATAAACTAAAATCGTTTGACATCGAATTTTTATTAATGATACAGACAACACTGAGCTATCAAATGAAGGATCTAATATCATAAGATTTGTTTTTTTATGTTCAGATATTTTCGTCTAAAAATCAAAATTTATTTGACCCCCTAGCATTTTTCCGTGACGATCTTTCAAGCCTTAATTAGTTCTTGCGAACAAAGGACAAGTGGCGGTACGGCCATTTTCTCGCCCAAAAATTTTCTCAAAAAGAATTATATATTCGGAATCAGCATTAAATTCTGAGTAAAATGAGGTACTTTTTGCTGTCCAGAAGTGACTTTCATTTTTCACGGTTGATCGGGCACCTGTAGGGGACCTCAGGACCATCGAAAATTTTTTTTTCAGAATTTTGGTGAATTTAACATCATCCGATGCGAAATTTAATGCTGATTTCGAGTTTCAAATTGAAATTTTAAAAAAATAGAGTTTTGATAGAAAAAAATTTGATTTACTGTGGGATGGTAGGGAGGGCCTACTTCCAGTTACCGTGCACAAGTGACCTAATGACACCATTAGAAAGTCTGAAATACATTTAGTAATGTGTGAAATTGCTTTCCCAATCAGAAACAAAAACAAAAAGGTGTCTGAAGTCGAGTTTTGGTGAGTTTTAGATCCAAATACTCAAAAAACCCGGTTTTTGGGCCCCTTGGCTCCATATAGGAGGGTAAGAAAATCTCTAACCAATGAGTGACATATATAGATCGATGCAGTTTTTCACGCTCTTTCCGAATATGACCTTAGAAACAAGAAAAAAAATGAAGAACATGGTCAAACCACACAAACACTGGAATCAGAGCAAAAAAGGCCAAAAATGCCCGGGTATTTGCAGATTATGACCAATAAAAATTGACTT